ATAACAAGTGGATAGAAGTTACTTTCGACTGTGAAGCAGGAAGAAAAGAAGCAATAGACAAGATAGAGAAGAAAAGCCGAGACTGGTTCAGAATGATTCCAGAAGAAAGTAAACAACCCAAGAAGAAAGAAAACAATGACAATGTAACAAAGAAAGCAAAAAAAGAAAAGAAATATAAAAAACAATAAGAAGATTGAAAGGCAAAATATGATTCAGAAGAAGAAGAAGAAGAAAAGAGAAGACCAAATGGAGATAATGAAGATGAAAACTTGAAATATATAATACTGTGGGACTTACCAAAGGATATAAATCAGCAGGAAATACAGTACGCCTGTAAGAAAATAGGCACAGTAGAAAATATACAAATCAAGAGAAGCTTTACAAAAGCACGAGCAATATTGAAGATAAACAGAGAAAGAGAAGCAGAAGTACCATGGACAATACCAATAGGTGACGAAAAACTGGCAAGAATTACAGAAAGTATAGAAGACTTCGACGAACGAAACAGACGAAGCAAGATAATAGCAAGATTAAGAAGTTTGCCAAAAGGGGCATCAGAGGTACTTCTGCTGAACAAACTAAGAAGCAAGGCAGCAAAATCTGTATATATCCCATGCAACAGAAATGGATGGCAAAGAGCGATTGCAATAGTAACTTTTGAAAATGAAGAAAATAGAAATAAAGCTACAGCGAGGCCAATGAGATACAACAACTAGGTGTTAGAATGGAAAACCCAATACAATTCAGATAGAGATAATCAAGACAGATCAGAGAGATCACAATCAAGAGAAAAAGAAGAAAGAGTAATTGATACAAAAAGAAAAAGAGAAGAAGAAGAATTCAGTGAAAAATCTGAATATGAAGAGAGCGAAGCAAAGGAATTAGTAAGAGAAGAAACAGGGAAAAATAGGAAGAAGAATATTAAAGAAAATAAAGAAGTGAAGTAAAAACAAACAAAAAATAAAGAAGAAACAAGTTAATATAGTCTAGAAACAGCATTGAAAGAAATATTAAGAAGACTGGATAACCTAGAACGAAACCCTAAAACAAGACGAAGAGTCGCTAGACGCTCCTGAAAGGCGCCATTGTTAAAAACAGAGAAAGGGCTGGAGCGGTGAAGAACTCAGCCCAAAAGGGAAAAAGGAGAAGCGAAGTACAGAGAAAGCAAATGGTGCAAACAAATATAAAAGACTATAATATATTAACATTAGGGTTTCATAATATAAACGGTTTAAAAGCAAATAAGGCAAAGATAGAGAACATTCTAGACTATATGAGGGAAAAAAAATCGATATCTTAGAGCTGGCAGAAACAAATATTACAGAGGAAGAAGGAAAGTTTGCTACTAAAAGAGATAGAGAGTATAGCAGCTTTTGGGCATTAGCAGAAGAAAACAAGAAAAAAGGTTCAGGAGTTGGATTCATCATAAAGAAAACTTGGGAAAAACATGTTGCACATGTGAATAGAAGCAATCCTTACTTCATCGAGTTAGGTCTAAGGTTCAAAAGGTTGTATATAATAATAATAGCAGTATATGTAGCTTCAGAAAATATAGAGGTACAAGAGTCTATAAGGAAGCATTTAAAGGAAAAAATACAAAAAAAGAAAGAGAAGCATCAATGTTTTATCGTGATTGAAGATTTCAATACAGACCTTAACCAAGAGGTTACAAGAAGTATTAAAGAAAGAAAAGATAAGAAAATGCAGATTACAAGTATATGGGTGCGGGTCAAAATCCCGACAAACAGAATCCTGACAGGTCATAATCCTGACAAAAAAATCCCGACAACTAAAATCCCGACAGCTGATCATTATCACGTGTTTGCATGATCGAAGTGTATATAACAGATTGACCCTGATTGGATCAGTTTACTAACTATAACCGTGCTACCAAGAGAAAACCCGTAAATCTTATTAGATAAGATTTGCGGATTTTCCCTTGGCAGCATTCTATTAGTATAATAGACTTTAGTTTTTTTTAGATCTATTTTTTTCAAAACCGGATCTTGAGATCTATTTTGTTTTCATAACCAGACTTCGGAATCTATTAGTTTGTAATGAAAGACGCAAATCACTAACCGGCAACCATATATCTTTTTCTTTCAGCACAATAGACTTCAGCTTGTTATTTTTTTTTCAGAACCAGATCTTGAGATCTATTAGTTTGTATGTAAGATGCAAGACTACAATCCATAGCAAAGTATAGATTCTTGTTTGATTCTTCTTTTTTTTTTTTATTGTTATTAACCTTGTTTTATTTGATCTTTTTTCTTTTTAGGTTTTACTTTACCGAGTCTTATTGATTGAGCTTCTACCGGGTGCGCAAAATTGCGATTAAGTATGGATTCTTGTATACTAGTAGTTCCTATTTTTTTTTTTTTTTTCTTTTTTATTAACTTTGATCTTTTCTTTTTTAAGTTCTGCTTTACCAGATCTTAATTGTGATTCATAGCTAAGTATAGAGTTTTATTTTATTTTGTTTTTTTTCTTTGTTATTATTACTAATTACTTTTTTTTTCCTTAAATCTGATCAAAATTAAATTTACTGTATAACGCGTAATAATGCACATGGTCGTCATTTTAAAAATTTTATTTTTTAAAAATCGCATATTTGACTATACCGCATTACTACCAATATACTGTTTGCTACTTCCTACAGTACCCAGGGTCTTATTCAAGAACTCCATTTTTAAAATTGAATAGTACCCACGGATACTGTATGAAGAACCGGGTACTATATTGGGGATATTTCATATTAGAAGCAGTAAATCAATATAGTTGTACTCCCAGGTTTTATTCAAGAAACATGTCAATAGGGGGTATGAATAATACCCGGGTTTTAATCACGGGGGTGTTATTTTTGAGGGATACTGTAGGCAGTGGCAAACGGTATATACTATTACGTTCGGTATAAAAATATAAAAAGAGATATTTTTTACAGGCCATTATCTTTGCTCCTGAATCTTATGAACTCAGGTCTTTAAATCTAAGCAATTTATTTTATATTAAAAGTAAGTTTTAATTTACATATCATACTTTTAATAGATGAATACAAATTTTAACTAAGATTTAATAAATATAACAGAATTTAATATTTAATATTTTTAAAAATTCTAGATGTGTATAATCAAACAAAAATTAAAAAGAAAGATTGTGTGCTATTCCACGAAGAAACTCTATTAATGTACGATTTTTCCGATCATTAATGATAAGGTCAATCCTTTGTTCTCTTTCAACAGTACCTTTTTTAGATTTTGGCCGTTGCTCTCCACGTATAATAGCTTCTACTTGATGCTCAACTTTTTGCTATTCTCTTTGAAATTCCTCAATGATAGTATAAACGCCTACGTGTGGTTGACCAACTAAATTTTCCCATCGTCGGTGCCATGCCTCGACAATGTTCTGGGTTCGAGGAATACCTGCCTCCATAGAGTCATGTACGGACCACATTTGTGGTGGATAAAGAGGTAATGAACGGCTAACATTGCCATTACGCATTTGTCATATTTTTTTTCCGTGGATATAATTGTCCTCAAGCCATTGTACTAATTCCTTGGTTTCTGTAGGCATTTCCTCCTTTAAAACATCAAATGCTGCAGGAATTTCATTCGATGATAAGAATGCCAATGCGAATAAATGACGCAGCTTGATGCTAAAATCTTCGTCAAGGCCATAACGAGTTGACAATTTATATTCTTGTATTTTTCTCCAGCCGCTTTGTCCTAAGTGAAAGAAGCAACACTTATTGTTAACATTAGGAAACTCACCATGTGATGCATTGATTGCGGCAAGTTCAAAGTCTGTAAGAATTGTTGTGGGCATTAATGAAATATTATTTTCTTCTGCAAATTCAAGTAAATTTTGAAATAGTGCCCTATATAATGCTTCAGATTTTTTTGTCATCAATGCATATACTAGAGGAAGAACTCTTGAGTTATCTCCTGTACCAACAGGAGCATGGATTGTATACAACTGACGAAAAATAGTCGGGACAGTCTTGAAAGTGCCATCTATCATCCAATATAATGCTTTAGACAAGTGCTGTATATTGGCTTTTGTGGTAAACAAGAGAATTCGTTTCTCTTCAATTATGGAATCTCTTACTAAAAACTCTTCCTTACTTAATGTCAAACGAAGTGAATCAGAAATATTGATGTCATCAAGTTTTTTGGGTTGCGGAGGCATGTCTGCTCTTCTAATACGTTTGATTCGTACTCGCAAAGCATTGTGCGATGGAACGTAAGGATAGACTTCTGTAGGGACATTAATGATAGTATCTTGGATTATTTGAGCTGGAGGGTCATTAGTCCCTTGAGCTCTGTTTCTTATAATTGCAATATTTTTTGCAACTTCGGCGCTACTGGCTGTTGGTGCATGATTGTGTTCATTAAATTTTTGAAGATAATGCATATTATTTGTAAGTAGTGTTACAGCACGACCTCTGCATTCATATAATTTTCTTTTTTCACAGCACCAATAGTACGTATCCTCCCGATTTCGTTCCTTTACCATCAAATAACCACGGACGTTAATCTTATCAGCTCCTCTTTGAGAAGGTACAATTTCACAAATTTCTTCCATTTTTTAATAATATAATAAAATAATTTTAAGTTTTTGCAGAGATGATAGTGATTTAAATAATTAAATAAAGTTCAAAAGACGTCAAAGTCTGGGAAATCTTTATTAGCGCGAAAGACAGCATTTTTATACTTTTTGAACAATTGTTAGAATTTTATACTGATAACTTTTTTTAGCTATTGGAAACTATTTTTTCGCTATTCTAATTTCATTTTATCTCTTTCGATATAACTGTTTCACTATACATCTTTCATCATAATTCTTTTACTAGTTTTAGGAAATCAACTGCAGCAATTTTTCTCCATTTATGGGTTTGGTTAACCAAACCCATAGGAGCGGTATCAATACAAAATTGAAACAAAAGATAGTAAACCATAATAAACTACAGTTTATTAAGCCTCTAAATAGGCTTTTGTAATACATAAGTAACAATTATAACAGATCAATACCATGAACAAAATGTATGGTTTATATTCAAGTTTTGCGTTTGTCTACAAAATCTTGATTCTGATTGGTTGTTCTGATTTTATATATGTTTATAATATACTAATCATTATTCTAAGTTTTTGGTTTTCATCACACAGCTAGCTTATTGCGGAAATTCATGGGTTTGGTCGACCAAGCCCATAAAAACGGTATTGGTACAAACAAGTAAGCCGTAATAAACTATATATCAATTAATTAAGCCTCTGAATAGGCCTTCGCCACACACCTGTATGTTACAATTATAACACGACTATACTTGTCGCCCAAATTTAGTTGGGTTTGTTTATATCCAAATTCCAAACTTTGAGATTTTTGACCAACATATAACATAAAAGGCTTGTCGGCCAAAACGCGAAGGTAGAGAATGTTTATAATAAAATTGCGTGGTAGTGTATAGAAGCTGATTACGTATTACTTCAAAATAACGCCTGGGGAGCGTTATTTCAAGTAGTTTAATTTGAGGAGAGTCAATAATTAATTTAATTAAAGAATCTTTTTAAACTTTAATATTTATTTAGTATTAAGGTTTAAAAAGAATCTTTGGCCAAATTAATTATTGTTTACTTTAAATTAAGCCACCCGAACTAATGCTCTTTGGTAGAGGCTATACTATTCTAAAATAAAATACAATAATAAGCATTTATCTTTAAGATTAAAAGCCTCATTTTTTGTTAATATTCTGATTAAGAAATAAAGGGTTTGGTTTTTGGCTGTGAAAAGATAACATCGTCAACTAAAGCCTCATAACTCAAAGTTATAAGAGGCATCAAATTTTCCTTTGTTAAATTGCAGTCTTCGGATTAAAAAATTTAAAATTTAATAATAAAAAAAAATTCAACACAATGTCATTTTTCTTAGTTACATCAAAATTTATTAAAACCGTTTTTCAACTTCGCAAACAAATAAAAGACACCTTAGTAACTGAAATAAGAATTACGAATGATACGATTATGTGTTATAATCGTGAAGGTGAACCCGTTCTCTTTGAATTCTCTCAAGAAATTACCACCATTTCATTAGAACAAGCCCGGATGTCATTGTATTTAAATGACTTAAAAAGAACTGATATTCCTACCAGGTCTCTCGAAGAAGTACATGGAGAAACCTGGGAAGATCAGGTCATATATATTAGGGATAAGATGCGTCAAAATCGTCTTGATCAGGTCTCCCTTCTTCAGTATTATTATCTTTTGGGAGAACGGTTGGAAGCTCAATTTTGGAGTCCAGCTGCTAGAATGTTTATTCGAATTAATTTTTCTATTAGTGCTTATCATTATACATGGAAAGCAGCTTCACGCGTATATCAATTGTATCATACCCGGGGTACTCATAACCTTCTTACTGTTCAAAATATTACTGCCAATGCTTTATTACGATTGTCTGACAAAAATTTTAAAGCATTGGTAGAAGAGGCACGATTATTTAAAGCAGCTGAAGTTGATTATATTTTAGGGGAAGCTCAGGAATAAGTAAATATATATTACATTGTATTATTTATTGATTTTTTTTTACTATTTTTGTTTTTAATGTCTTATGTACGTATCGTTTTTCTTGAATAAGTTAATTATTATTAAAATGGGTAAGTTATACTAAAAGGAGTATAAATGATCTATAAAAAAATAATTTTCAGTAAATAAAAGACTATATTATGTAAAATTTGAGTAATTTGTTTTTTACAAGTTTAATTTCTCAAGTGTCTGATTAATGGTCGTCATAGTATGGGGCATTACACTTATGTATCCGGGCATATAATAGTAAAACATGTCAAAAACATAGAAGTATTCGTACAATATACCCCTCTATAAATACCCGAATACATAACATGAGCCAGGGGAATACCCCGGCACACATGTCGCAGAAATACAGTATATTACCGATAATAAGATCAATGACGCAGACTAATGCATTTAAGTAAAATTTTATCGAACGCCATAAAGTAAATACACGATTGATCTGTTTCACAGGTTGATTCACCCGAATATAATATAAAATAATTTTCTCGTGATTGGTCAACTTTATTCAATTGAATTGATATGTACTGTTTAGAGCAAAGTTAGGCAGCCTCTGTATATTCAATTTATTAATATATATAATGTAAAAATTATTAATGTACCATTGTTCAATTATTTAATTTGCCTAATTCTAGATAGAAGTTACTTTTTAAAAATTTATTGTCCAATTGCCCAACTCTGGTTTAGAATACTTTTATGCCCTGACATACATAGTAAGTTTTTTTTTTTATAAATACTATGAGACTCTACACAATCGAAGTTTTAAGTATCTTGCGTATCTCTATATTTACTCTCCCTATACATATTCACTTAAAGAGCTAAAAAATAGTGATAACAAATAAAAAGTCATCATGTATTGCATCTAACATCGTATAAAATTAAATTAAATATATTTGGCAAACTATTTCGATAATAAATGTGGCAACTTTGCTGAGATTGGCTCATATTGAGAAGTTGACTTATTTTATTATAAAATTATAGATTTTTGGGCTTTTTTGTAGCCTAGGTTAGAATTAGGATTAGTAATTAATAATAGTGTATGTGGATATTCTAGATTTAAATAGAAACCTCAAAACTCGGCACAAGCCAATCTCAGCATAAGCCGTCATAATCAAATAAAGTGAATAATTAGAAGATTAAAAGCCTTATTAAAAGAAATCGATGCATAACTACAAATTCGAAAACCACTATCCAAAATCCTGAGACGTAGCTTATGCCCAATAAAACAAATATCTAATATTAAATATTTTCATCAAATTAGTACTCACGTTTTAAACTAAATTAACGAAAATTGACAATAATAAAACTGTATAAAGTGAATACTTATCTTAATTACATGAATAAGAAATATCGTATTATCCCGAAATAACGCCCTGGGGGTGTACGTAGATTGAAGAGAACTAATAATTAATTTAGTCGAAGAATTTTAATAACAAAAGATTATGATTCTCACTCGGCTAAATTAATTACTAGCTCTCTTCAATCTACGTATACCCCGGGGCGTTATTTCGCGATACTATGGTAAGTGTTTTAAATGCTTTGATTAATAAAGGATCACTACCAAATAAATGTGAATAAATAAACAAAAAGTGATATCTTACCTTTAATACATCGAATAAAAGAAATGGTACGGTTAGTAGAGTCATTGACAAGACAGAAAAGTAATATAAAAGCGACAATATAGATATTTGCTAAGAACCAGACTTGAAAGACAGTTCTATCAACATCATAAAGGATACCTGGTATAATGACATATTAAATAAATGCTAACGGCAAAATGAATGTCAAAATCTATTTCAGCTGCAGAGTAAATGTGAAATTCATACCAACACAACTAAAATCCACACTACTAGAAAATTGCAACAAGAACGAACTCCAGAAATAACAATTTCAAGAACTACAAGATACTAAAAAACGTGAAAGCTAACAAAAAGATCTGCTCGAAAAAGCTTCAGAAGTAGCAAGTCCAGGCTATACAACACCAAAATCATCGATTATACTGACATCTCTGGCAATGATAACTTCAATGGCAATAGTTCGTTCAAAACAACAATGAAAGCTTCTAAAAACAAAGGAAAAAAAGGTTAAATAAAAGCTTTTAAAACTTGGCTTAAACTATGCATTTGTTACCGTATAGCGCGGACTAAAATACCCAGGGTACTTTACAATTTAAGCTGTATATGTGAGCATTATAGTTGGAGGGATATTATGATTAGCGTAGCGGGTATAAGTTGCATATTTTTATATTCCAAGCATAAGTAATCGATCTTTAGTACCAGGGTATTTAATTATTAGTCCCGGGCACAATACATTCCAGGCCTCGAAGGTATTAAAATAGGGAAGTCTTTTAGTCAGTAGTATTTACTATATAATAAATAAAAATATATATATTACGACAGAATAGTAAAATTTGCTACGTAGATCATACTGGGTTTGATCATGATGTTTTGATTGTCGGGATGTTTGTCGGGATTTTTGATTGTCGGATATTTTGTCGGGATTTTTTTGTCGGGATTATGACCTGTCGGGATTCTGTTTGTCAGAATTTTGACCCAAACCCCAAGTATATTAATAGAGGAAAATTTCGCAGACATATTTAAAGAAACAGGTTCAATAACAAGTAGTTATACTTGGGAAAGCCAAGGTACAAGAACCAGAATAGATACAATTTGGTTAGACAGAGAATGAAAAAAAGAGATAGCCAAAAAGAAAATAGAAGAAATGAGCTACATAACAACAAGCGATCACTGTCTGATTTGGTGCAAAGTAATAACTGGTTTGAATTTGCGAAGAAGAAATGCAGCAAGGGTAAGAAGAATAAACAAGACCAGAATCAATCTAGATTTGGAAAGAGCAACAAAAGAAGACTGGGAAGAATATATAGCAAAATTAGAAAGAGAAATATTCAATAAAATGGAATCAAGAAAGAAAGAAGAGCAAGGAAATAGAAGATGCAGAAGGATGAACCTACAAGAAGAAGAGAAACTAGAAAAAGAAAAAGAAATTGAAAAAATATATGATATAATAGAATTAAGCATACACAAAGCCGCGAACTCAGCCTTACCAAAGAAAAAGAAAATCTCAGAAATTGAGAATAATTTAGCATTCTCAGCTGATCTAGCAAAACAAAGAAAAGATATACAAGCTTTGAGAAAATGGTGCAGTAAATTGAAAAGAGATAAAAGGCTGGGAAAAGACAAAAAGACAGCGAAAGAAGTACAGAAGCTATTAGACAAAATTCATATAAGGTGGAATTTAGAGAAAATAGAAAATAAAGAGGTAATGGCAGAGAGTCAAGAAGGTAGACAAGAAGAAATCAACTACGAAGAAACAGAATTGTGGTAGAGAATCCTATATAAAGACTGGAAAAGAAGAAGAAATAAAGCAGAAGAAGAAGAAATCAAAAAGTGCATTGAGGCAAGATATGAAATAATCATTACGGACCAAAAAAGAATGATCAACAGCCTGCTAGAAAAACCACAAAGAAGCATTAAAATTGACAGGATGCTCAAAGAGATAAATAGAGAAGAAGAATTGCTCACAGAAGAAGTAGAGATTTTGGAAGAAGTCAAGTCCCATTTTACCGAACAATTTCGAGAAAGGAAAATAGACTTAAAAAGGATGAATAAAAAATGGAGAAATATTTACAAGCCAATAGAAGGAGTCAAATCAGAATGGTATCAAAAACTTGATCAAGAAGTCCTAGAGAAAGAATGGGAAGAAGCTTTAAGACAGACCAAGAATAAGTCAGCACCAGGACCAACAGGCATAATATATCCCTTAATTAAATAAGCAGGAAAAAAGGCTAAAGAGACATTCAGAAACTTCGCAAGCATGTGCATAGCAGAAGGACATATACCAAAGAAATAGAAGCTAGGCATGCTATATCTAATACCTAAAAGAGAGGATTGGTGTTACAACCTAAACAATGTGAGACCGATCTTGCTGCTAGAAACCTTCAGAAAAACAGTAGTCAGGGTGCTAAACAACAAACTAAGCCGAATCTTGCGAGAAAAGGAAGTTTTAAAAGGAAGAAATTTTACAAGACTCCCAGGTGAAAGAACATCAGCTCCAATTTATCTAATTAATAGCTTACTTAAAGATGCAAGTGAACAAAAGAAAGAAATTTGGTTGCTTTTTCAAGATATGAAAAAGGCTTTTGATTCTGTCAGCATCAAGATGCTAGAAATAGCACTAGAAAGGATAAAACTTCCTCAGGCTACAAAGAAGTTTATCTTTCAACTGTATTATAGAAGAGAAATGAATGTAATTACAGCAGTAGGTTTGACAGAAAAGTTTGTAGCGAGAGATGGTATAGACCAAAGAGAAGTCATTTCACCCTTAGTATGGAGAATATTTTATAATCCACTGTTAATAGCAATTCAAGAAAGAAGAAAATCTGGATACAGAATAGTAGTAGAATGGCCAGAAGATATAACAAAAAACAGAATCTAACAACAAAGCCTTAAAGTAGAAGTAATAGCTTATGCAGACGATACTACTTACATTGCAAGCTCAAAAAAAGACCTCAAGAAAACACTAGAAATTGCTAAAGAGTTCTACAGAATAAATGATATAGAGATCAACCTAAAGAAATCAGTACTTCTAGTTATCGCATCGGAAAAAAAGGTCAAAATGATGGATAGAAAGGTTAACTTTAGGCTGAATAAAGAAGTAGTGGTAGTAAAAAAAGGAAGTGACCCCACAAGATTTCTAGAAATTTGGTTAGCGACCAAGAATGGACTTAGCCAAATAGAAAATATTATTAAGAGAGAAGTAAATACGGTGACAAGACGCATCAGCAAAAAGAAGGCTTCTTTAGCACATATGGTATATATAAACAATATGGTTCTGCTACCAAGAATAGAATTTAGAGCACAACTGAAAATTCTATCAAAGA